TTGTGAAGATTATGAACAAAGATCCTGAAGGATATGGTACGAAAATTACAAATAAATAGTAATTAGCTTTACATTCTTAACTCTAATATGTATTTTTTTTCTTACAGTTCCAATGTCTGTTATTGCCTCTTGGAAGAAGATAAAAAATCTCAGGGTTAACAATCAGATGCTTGTTAAAGCTCTTAGAACATCATCACAACTTGTAAATTTCCTCTAAATCTCCACTTATGGTTCCTATAATTTATTAATATAATGTCAATGCAAATCTTTTTGTTTTTTTCTCTGTTAATTCAGGTGGTGAGTGAAGATGGAAAGAAAGTGAGGCGAAAGAAACTCTTTACAGAGAAAGCCAAAGAGGAACAGATGGTTATTGACATCAAACTCTAGCAAATAGTATTATAAAACTATATTGGACTACTTTTTCTGAAATATTTGTTTTCATTTACAGTCGCGCACTGTTGTAGTTGAAAATTTACCAGAGGATTCCTCACACCAAAACATCGAGAAGTTATTCAGCGTAGTTGGAAGGTTTGAAAAACAAGGTTTTAGCTAATATTTCACTGAAAAATATGAAGAAATGGAGACATTTTAATGAAATAATGAGGTTATTTATTATATCATTTATATGTAACAATGTTAAGAATATCAGAATATGTCATCCTCAAGAGCCTAATTCAACTAGGCCTTCAAAGACTGCGTTATACTTAGTAACAAGGTACTTTCTTCACAGTAGAAAAAAGTTCCATGACATACCAATTCTGATAGTTCTGAAGCTCACATAATTTGTATAATTTGTATTGTTTTCACCAAATTATCATATAGTTGCATGCATTTGTGGAGTTTGAGACAACTGTTCAAGCAGATAAGGCCGTAAGCTCTCGCCTTAATTTCTTCACTATTCATTTGTTTTTGGTTTTGTTGTTTTTTTTTTTCAAATAAGTTCTTCTGCTTTATTTAGGTTTTGTTTGGGACGGCTTTCTTATTGTTTTCTAATCAGTTTTTTCTAGTACACAATTTTAATTTTTTATACTAGGAAGCTGATTTAAGAAGCAGTAAGAATCCCAAACAAAGCCGTAGATAACTTAGAGAATGCATGAAATTTATATAGGTAGAGAAGCTAAATGATGAGAGCAATTGGAGGAAAGGTCTGCGTGTGAGATCATTGCTTAAATGCACGGTAATTTACTTCAAAATTGACATGTTTGTGTTTCACTTTTTCTTTAAATGGTTCTTAATTATAAAAAGGAGACAATATGTGAATAATGTTTCAGCAAGCTTTACAAGTTTTGCACTTTTTCCCTTCAGCCAAGATCAGTAATCAGAGGCAAAATGTTGGATTATGATCATTTTGACTTGAACTCAGAGGATGATCAGTCTCCCCTCTCTCAAAAATTAGAATCTCCCAAAATTGAGCAAGTACTTCAACAGCATGTAAGATTTTTTTTTTTTTTTTGTGATAATATATTAACATTTAGGCTTCGTTTGGAATGGTTTTCTTACTATATAGCGGCTTTCTAGTAAAAAATTTTAATGTTAGCAATAGAAAGCCGCTTTACGTAAAAAAAGCTGTCCCAAATGAAGCCTTAATTGCAAATTGAATTCAAGATAGAAGTGAAGTTTTTCTTCACAGGTTGGTGAAAATCAAAATGGTGCAAAGAAAGCATGTGGAAGGGGACAAGGGAAACAAGCTGGCCAGGTTCAAAATAACAACGGTCACGGTGTTTTATCCAAAACTCCACAAGAAACGCAAAAGATTGGGAATGGACTGTGTGAGAACAATATCAAGCAAACTTCTCCTGGACCAAGGATGCCCGATGGAACTCGGGGATTCACTATGGGCAGAGGAAAGCCATTAAAATCACTTACGACCACAACTGATCTTTCTCCCATCAATCTCTGAGCTTTTTACCTTTTGCCTTCTCTTGTTTTGAAATGGTCCTAGCATGTTTTTCAATGCTTGAATAGTAATTCTTTCATGTTTTCTACTGTTTCTCTTGTTGTATTTCGTTATAATCTTTTGGAATTTATTTATTAACTTTTTTGTTTGTTCGTAATAAAAAGCTCTGTTACTATACTTGGAAGTCATTATTGCTGGGATGCAGTTCAAAAATAAATGATAATCAGAATGAAGTTCTTAAGCATTAATAGAGATTACTTTATCGCAATAGTTTTGTTGAGGCTTCATCATCTAGAACCTGCAACAAAACTCTTTGCATAACAGAGTGAACGGGTACAGATAACAGGAAGAAAGGTTAGAGGAAGCAGAACAGTTTTTTTTGTTTTTTTTTTGGGACATTTAGGCCATTAAAGGTAAACTCACACACACAATGCATACACATAGACTCAAACCCTGGACTTCTTAATTGGAAGCCTAAGCTCTCAACCAATAGGCCAAGGAGAGTTGTGTCAGAACAGTTTTTTTTTTGGGACATTTAGGCCATTTAAGTCAAACTCACACACACAACGCATACACATGGACTCGAACCTTGGACCTCTTAGTTGGAAGCCTAAGCTCTCAACTAATAGGTCAAGGGGAGTTGTGTTAGAACAGTTTTCTCATTAGTTCTTTACTGTGAACAGTACAAATCGTTCATACTAGCAAAAGACAAAACCAAATCATTACAGCTGCAGGTTTTGTCACAAGCTAACGGCTAAGATTAAAGTAGAGAATTGATATGTATGGTGTAGATCAAGATAGCAGAGGAAGTGGCAAACAATGGCAGTGGACCTGCTGTGGCAGCTTTTAGTCGGTTAACAAGTTTTACGAAGTCTTTCCAAATTGTTGGGAGAATCCTGATTATGATGATGATGATTATAGTTCTGTGTAATTTAGATATAGGTTTTGTTTGAGATGATTTTTTTACTATTTTTAGAAGCAGTTTTTAGTTAAAAAAAAAATTAACTTTTATATTAAAAAGCTGTTTCAAGAAGCAGTAAAAAAGTCATCCCAAACAAAACCTTAATCTAAAGAAATGAAATCATAAGATTATCATGATTAGATGCTTAATGGATCTATTTGCAAGTTATCTTCACTCTTCAGTAGTAATTTCCTCATATTATTAAGCATATTTTCTAACAATTCGTAAGGCATCATTCATCAAAGAATGGCTGAACATATAAATGACATTCACTTGACAAACTGGGAGCGGAGCATTGCGGCGCTCCAAAGTCCAAATCCTTGTTTTGCCAAGGAGCGCTATAGCTGTAATACCTCACAATATCCTTAAACAGTATTGTAGAGTATCACATACGTAAACATAATATTTTTCCATCATCTATCATATGATGCTTTTCATTATTTGAAAATTGATATAAAACATCCAACAACACTTCATTTACAACATAAATGAAAGTATCTAATAAATTATCGAAGTTAATAAAAAAATTTCATGTGAACAGCAGAAGAAAGGCACTTATAATCAGTTTTTCTATCCAAAGACAAATAATTAATGTTGTGTTAGATATCTTGAGATGGATTCCCAATTTGAATTGTTTGTTCATATTTCTATGATACGTTTAATAAATGTGAGTATGCTTATTTATTTTGTCATAAATACAAGTTAGGTTGCTATTGCTACGGATATCTTAGCCCAAGTAAATAATATCCTAATGCATATAGAATTATTTATGATTTTGGACATGATTTAAATCCAATAAGAACCTGATTTCAATAGCTTTTTATTTATTTATTTATTGCATTCTAACTACAGTCAATCATATAATGGATTTGACATATTTCATTATTTTAAAAGCATGATTTCTAATATTTAGCAACCAAATGAAAATTTATTTTAGAAAATGATGATTTTATTTTCACCAATTTGAAGCGTGAGTTTTAGGAACTTTTATTCCGTTCGGTGCAAGGACGTAGAGGAACGTCCTGTCGGAGGTAATTTCCCGTCAAAAAATTAGGTATTTGCTCGGTACAACTAGGTATTATTTGATAATAATGAGGAATACCGTTCTCTGAAGACCAATATCGAGTTATACCGAGCTGTACCGAGAAAATACTGAGTTTTACCGAGTTTTTCTGGGAAAAACTCGGTACAACTTTGGTATAACTCGGTATTTGCTTGGTAAAGCACGATATAACTCGGTATTGAGTCTTCAAATGATGGAAATTCTTCGTTATTGTTTGGTATTGCTCGGTATTTGCTCGGTACAACTCGTTTTTTTGGCGGGAATTTGCCTCCGACCGGACGTTCCCTCTACGTCCGGTCGGAGGACGTAATAATTGTTCGAGTTTTAGAGTATTTATGTGTTTAAAATCAATATTAATTCGAATGATAGTTTAAAAAGTTCAATCTCTTTTCAAAACATTAGGCAATCAAATGAGCCCTTAGCATAATATTCTAAAAAGCCAACAAGTTGTTAGCATTAAGGCTTAGTTTGGGATGACTTTTTTTCTGCTTCTTAAAGCAATTTTTTATACAAAATTTTTAATTTTGTACTAAAAAACTGCTTTAAGAAGCAATAAAAAAACAATCTCAAAAGAAGCCTAAAGCCTAAAGCAACAAGTTACTAAGGCTTCGTTTGGGACGATTTTTTTATTGTTTTCTAAAACATATTTTTAATACAAATTTTTTTATTTTTTTTATAGTACAAAAATTATTTTTTTTCTACTAAAAAACTGCTTCAAGAAACAGTAAGAAAGCCGTCCCAAACGAGGCCTAAGTCACTTCAATTGCTAATTGGCTTTTCAAATCCTAGCAATCCAATCCAGTCTGGTCTCCCTGAGCCAAGATTTCCTCAGCTATTTTGAAATTATCAAAGCACCATTCAAACAATTCTGTCCGGGTCAAAGTTGAAAGCAAACCAAAGCGTGAATCAAGCCTCATTTTTCTGGCGCCAAATAAGGATCTTCTTCCAACTAACATAACTGTTCCGAGAAAAATTGCCACCACAAAACCACCAAAAAACAAGTGAAATATATAAGGATCAAAAGGTAAAGACTATCATAGATTCTCACCAAGAAGGAAAGAAAAAAAAAAGTAGAAGCAATGGCAGATGAGAAGAAAGAAGTGAAACACACGATGATCAGGGCAATGCAATATCAGAGCTCAAGCGCCTCGGCTGCCGCTGAGTTCAAGTTAAATCCAAACGCACCCGAATTCTTCCCTGATCCTTTCATCCAGATGCCGACACCAAATTACTTCTGCCAATATCTCAAATTCCTCAACGGCAGCAGCGGCGGAATGGAACCAGATTGTATCTACTTTGAAGATCAGAAACCAAAGAATTTTGTCCCTGAATTAAACGTCAAGGCTTCTAATCTGAACAAGAACAGCACTGATCGGATTCAGAAGATTGTGAAACAGGTTCTTCTTTTTGATTGCCTTTCTTTTTACATAGCAAGTAAAGGAACATAAGAAGTTTGGTTTTAAGTCCATATCTTCCAAAGAGAAAGCCAAGGAGGAGCAGATGGTTATTGACATCAAACTCTAGCAAATAGTATTATAAAACTATATTTGACTACTTGTTTTTCTGACATATTTGTTTTCATTTACAGTCGCGCATGGTTATAGTAGAAAATTTATCAGAAGATTCTTCACGCCAACACATTGAGAAGTTATTCAGCATTGTTGGAAGGTTTGATAAATGAAGTTTTTAGCCAATGTTTCACTTAAAAGATGAAGAAATTGTCACATTTCAATGAAATAATGATATTATTTTTTATATGTAACAGTGTTAAGAATATCAGAATCTGTCATCCAAAAGAACATAATTCAACTAGTCCTTCAAAGATTGATGTTATAATTAGTAACAAGGTGATTTCTTCACGTCAGAGAAGTTTCCATGACATATCAATTCTTATAGTTTTTAAGTAACATAAATTCTATATTTTTTATAATTTTCTCTGAATTGTAATGATTCTTTTTCATATAGTTGCATGCATTTGTGGAGTTTGAGGCAACAGTTCAAGCAGCCAAGGCTGTAAGCTCTCGTCTTAATTTTTTCACTATTCTTGTTATATATTGAAATTAGAGCTTATGCTTTATTTGGTTAACTTAGAGAATAGATGGAATTCATATAGGTAGAGAAGCTAAATGATGAGAGCAACTGGAGGAAAGGACTTCGTGTGAGATCTTTGGATAAATGCATGGTAATTTACCTTTAAATTGATATATTTGCATTTCAGTTTCACTTTAAATGATTCTGAATGATAAAAAGAGGACAGTATGCGAATTATGTTGTATCAAGATTTACATATATTGAACATTTTCCCTTCAGCTAAGATCAGTAACCAAAGGCAAAATGTATGATCATTTTGACTTGAACTCAGAGGATGATCAGTCTCCTTTCTCTCAAAAATTAGAATCTCCCAAAATTAAGCAGGTACTTCAACATAATGTGAGCTTTTTCTTTGTAAACATCAATCTAACATTTTGTATAGCAAATTGAATTCATGATAGAAGTAAATTTCCTCTTCACAGATTAGTGAAAATCAGAATGGTGCAAGGAAAGCATGTGGAAGAGGACGAGGGAAACTAAATGGACTTGTTCAAAACTACAATGGTCATGGTATTTTATCCAAAACTCCACAAGAAGCACAAAAGATTGGCCATGGCCTATTTGAGAACAATATCAAACAAGCTTCTCCAAGACCAAGGATGCCCGACGGAACTCGAGGATTCACTATGGGCAGAGGAAAGCCATTAAATCACTAATTAACACAATTGGTCTTTTGTAAAACTATTACGCTCACGCTGGCCCAGGAGGAGCCGGATGGACCGGTCCGGTTCTATGCACGGCGGAAGACCCAACCAGGAGGAGGCGGGATGGCTGTGGGCCCATGCAGGTCTTAATGCAAATTTGGGGGGGAATTTTTGAATGAAAAAGGTTGTTTAGGTAATTTGTAATTCTCCTTTTGGGGGGGATTAATGAGGGGCTAAGGAGGGAATTAGGATTATCTTGAATTTGAATTGTAATTTGAGATCTCATCGTGTGCTAGGACTCTAGGGTTTGCTAGAGACTTGTGGAGGGTTGTTCTTCCTCTCGAATTGAAGAACATTGTATCTTTTATTTCTTTCTCGCATCTACTAGTGGACTCCTTTGTTTTTCTCCACGTTTCTCGTTGTTTCTATTCAAAATCTATTGCGTTTGGGTGGATTTACTGCTATAAACAACAGTTTTCTCTCTGTTTTCTCGCTAATTTCGATTATGTTTTCTTGCGAACTCAAGTATTCCCTTATGGTTACTTGTGAACTCAAGTATTTCCTATCAGAAAATCCCTAAGAAAATAAACCTAAATTCTTAAACATCAAGGGACCTTTTGATGTAACAGTCAGAATTTTATTAGAAGCTTTAAAGTTAAGCGTGCTCATATAGGAGAAATCTTGAGATGGGTGGACCTCTTGGGAAGTTACACCTATCGGACAAAATCTTAAGATCATTGCGCCAAAGTAGACAATATTTCAAGTGTCAAGAGTTTGGGCTGCTACATCTTTCCCCTTTCAAGATTTGAGCTTCGGACTTGTTGATTTCTCGTATTTTGAAATGGTCCTAACTTATTTTTCCATGTCAATAATATTTTTTCTTGTTTTTTACTTTTTGTCATGTTGTATTTCTTCATCATTTTTTAATGTTTCGGAATTTATTTATGTAACTTATTTGTTGAATTGAATAAATTTGGTGATGGTTTTGTGACCTTTGTCTCAAGTACTATTAATGTTGCTTGGGTTTATTACCAGTAATTGATAAAAGCTTTATCTTCTTGCCCTTGGAAATCATTATTGCTGGGATGCAGTACAAAAGGAAGTAGTGATCGGAATAGAGTTCTTATGCATCGTTAGATATTACTTTATCACAACAGCTTTGCAAAATCTTTTCAAATAGTTGGGATAAGGCTGATTATGATGATGATGTTGATAATGATAATGATAGTTCTGCATAATTTAGTCTTAGTAATGAAATCATAAGAGTATCATGTTTAAATACTCAAAGAATTGCAGGTTATCTTCAGTAGTAATTATCTCATATTATTCAGCATATTTAATAGCAATTAAAAAGGCATCATTCATCAAATAATAGCCGAGCAAAAATACATACATATGCCTGATGTTAGGAAACCATATTTCCTAAATTGAAATCTGATTTCAATAGTTAGAAGTGAGATTATTTCGAGCAACATACAAATATTATTCAGTATTCAGATATAGATATAATACACTTTTTTGACATTTACGTCAATTAAGGCAAATTCACGTACACATCACATCTACAAGCTTCTAATCCAAAACATCTTCTGCGATAGTCAAAGCACTCAATCAACAGATCAAGACGAGCTGTGTGATATAGTACCTATCTAATATAGACCGAGTAAATAATCTAAGCTCTTAAATTACTCATATTGATCTAAAAACTTTGAGAAGATAGATTGTTTGGGGGCATATATCACCAAAAATTGATTTGCAAAGGTACGAATCACACTGGAAGGTTGGCTTGCAAACTTTTGAATTCAAATTCAAAACCATCTAAACTCCTATTTTAGAAAATTTACAGTCAAATTACATGCCTCAATGTGGCCCAATATGAGTTCAAATGAGCCCGGATTGAGCACTTAAAGCATAATAAAAAAATTTTGGGATATTAATTGGAGGATCAAATGATATCCAAAATTTGCATACCCATAATTAAATTGAGTGTTTAGATGAGACAAATTCAAAGAGCTATATATTGCTTAATTCTAACATCATCAAGATGCTTAATTGCTTAAAATAAAATAAAATATTGAGAGATGCAATGCAGATCGTCCGATAGAGTGTTCCGAATTTTGATTATATTTACGAGGAATCTCAATAATCTAAAAATAGATCTCGCTTTCTACATAAAAGGGGTGTCGGGATATTGGCTTGAGATTCAAGAGAGCTCGAAGGTTTAAAGAATGTTGAAGCTCCACCATGCATCAACATCCAATCGTTGACATCGAACTACCACCCGACTACTACCTATGAAGCACCATCAGATCAACACCATCGCCTAATTGCCACCATCGAACCATCACCCAATCGCCTCTATCAAGCCATCGCCTAACCTCTGTCATTTGGGCATTGCCTAACTGTAACCCTTGGATCACCGCCCGATCGTTGTGGCCAACACACCGCATGACTGTTATCATCAACCCATCATTTGATTGCTGATATTGCTATCTAACAATTGTTGCATGATTATTCTGTTTTAACCATCGTTGTTTGAATGCTTTATGGTGTCAAATGTTGGCCATTAAAAGAGAGGCATGATACTAAATTAAGTGTTGCAAAAATGATGATGCTTAGGTGGATGAGTGGCTTTACCCTTAGAGATAGGATACAAAATGAGAATATACGTGAAAAGGTTGGAGTAGCTTCAATGGAAGATAAGATTAGAGAGAGTCTCCTTAGATGGTTTGGTCACATTAAACAAAGGCATTATGATGACCCAGTTACGAAATTTGAGGTATTATATTTGACTTATCTTAAGAAAGGTAGAGGTAGGCCTAAAAAGGCTTGGTTAGAAAATTTTAGAAATGATCTTTCTTTATTAGATTTAAATGTGAACTTGACTTTAACATGACACATGGGAAAAAATGTTTCATGTAGCCGACCCCACATATTGGGACAAAGGCTTGATGTTGTTATTGTTGTAACCATCGTTATCTAACTATGGTCTCCTAATCATTATAGCTTAATATGATCCTTTGAACAATAATATTTGTCTATTATCATCTGACCACCATTACTCTTATCTTTAAAAACTGGCATCCAAAATTTTTCATTGAGTAATGGATTCACCATTCCAATTAATTTTCCCTTATCTTTAAATAATGGCATTTCCTTCAGTCAAAGAGTGAAGATTAATAATGTATGCCATTTAATTAGAAACACAAACACTTTTTGAATAATTAAACTCTTGGGCTCTATAGTTTTCAAAAATGTAAAAAATTGTTGCATCTAAATCTTGAACAAGTATAATCTTGATTTTATGATGTAGAAGTGATAGGATAACTATAAATTTGTTATAAAAGCTAATAGGAATACACTAGTTTATTTCTTTTTATTGGTATTATAAATATGTCCTTTTTAAAAAAAGTTGAATAGCAACTTCTTTATACATCTCACACATTGGTAGATATGGTTGCATTTTCCAATGCAAAAGTTTTTTTGAAGATGAGAAAGCAGCAAAAAAAGGTAAATAAACTAAGCATAGTTGTGGTAAGAATAACAATGCAATCAGAAGGATGCCCGAAAGAAGCCCAAAATTGATATGTCAATCCACTTATCATAAATATGCATGCAAGCAGAATGATCCCTGCTCTCTCAGCCATTTCCTCAACCTTGTACATCGCCATGCCCACTGTTCCACTCAAATGAATCATTACTAGCTCTGTTCTTGGGTTGTAAATGCAGAATTGTCTGCTTCCTTCTTCTTACTATATATTCTAGTCACTATACCTCACATGAGAACCAAGGAGATTAATGAGAAACACACATTTCATGATTTTTCTCATCTTCTTTGTACTTATCTAATTTATTCGTTCTTACATGGTATCAAGCCATAACAAAGCCTAACGACTATTCTGCTACTCATCTTCCTCAATGGCTAACTCTTACAGTACTTCAAAGATGTCGCCAACTACTGCCGTAATAATAGAGACCGCAATAGTCTCATATCTGAAAATTCTTGATATTTAACCTCAAGAATATAGTACATGTCAAGTTGAGCATCAATAACTACTCTTTCTAGCGTATGCAAGTCCTAAGGATTTTCTTAGCCAAAAAACTTTGATGCCTTTCTCAACGAAAACCCCAAATTCCCTCCAAAGATTACCCTCTCTACCAGCAACGAACTTCAACCGAACCCACTATACCATTCTTGGCAACTATTTGATCAAAACCCTCATATGGGAATATAAACATGCTATCCAATTATTTTATATCAATATTAAATCAATATCTTAATCATATACTTAATATATCCTGCATATCACGTTCTAAATGAATATATCATGATTTTTGTAATAATAAATCAGTAACATTGTTAATAATAAATCCACAGTAATATGAATAATGTCCCAATAATATTCATTTCAGTAGTCACACTAAATAAGTAAAATTTTTATTATTTCACTGTGTTTTTTAATATCGTATTAGTGTCAGTAAACCATTGGCTCAGTAAACAGAGTCAACACTCTTTGTCCGTCAGCACAGTATCATCTCCTTAGAACTCCCAATTAGTAAATCACGTGAATCAGTCAAGCATAACACCAAACTATATATTTAAAGGAAAGCTCATTTTCCCATCATCCTGTATAAGTCAATCAGTCTCCAACTAATGGGTCAACCAGTATTTACTTGTCATTTACACATTTATTATTATCACATTACTATAACAATAATAACAACTCGTTATTACTCAATCAAATATCTACATTCTTTTTCAATACATTGCAGTAAATAAATTATAATTGTTCTTAATTTAGATTGTGCCAAAATATTATAATGGTAGACAACAAAAATCAGGCTGAACAAAAATTAATATTTTTAGAATTTAACAATACACCTAATATTGTATAAAATAACATTCTTAAGATTTAGTTGACATGTGCTTCTTGCATGGTCCGCTTACACAAGTCTCCAAATAGTGCCAAAATAAAGCACAACCTCTCCTGCGTGATAAGATCTGTTTACGC